GCTTTAAAAGCGCTTTTTAAAGTGCCCTTTTTTCTCCGCGGTCGTATTTGTCGCGCTGTGATGACGTCACGTACGCGCTTTCGTCGAGCGCGCTTTAGTCTACCACGGTTTTGTGGTGGAACCGGCGAGCAGATGGCAGCTCCGGGGCAAGGCTGGACCCAGGGAATGGCACATTACCTGTTCCGGCCGAAGTGGGTGGCAACTCCCTTGGGGAATGGCGTGTCCCTGGGGGATTGAAGGGCAAGCGGGTAGCATGCTTACTTAACTTTGGTGAGCTGAACAGAGAGGGCACAGAGGCAACTGGCGAGGTTCATAGGTGGGCTGCATGGTGAAGGCAAAATATATAGGGCTGAGATGGGTGGGGTGAGCAAGCATCGAGTGGGCGGGCAGTGTGAGCAAGCGGTGAGTGGGTGGGCAGGATGAATGAGCAGCAAGCAGATGATTGGTTTGGGGGTGTGGCCAGCCAGAAGTCGCTACCAGTTTGGCGACCCATGCAAATTTCTGCTACTGGTTCACATGAACTGGTGCGAACTGGCTGAATACAACCTTTGGTGATGCTATTTATCCCACTTTTTTCTTGCTTATCAAGAAGTAGATTGTGCTCTACTTTGTTGAATGCCTTGCCGAAGTCTATGTATATTAAGTATTATATCCACAGTATTTTGCTGGTTAATTAATTAATTTAATCACTATGTTGAAGAATGAAATAAGATTGGTTTGGCATGATCTGTTTTTAACAAACCCATGCTAACTTCTAGTTATTACTTTACTAGTTACTAGATGTTGACAGATCTGTTTATTAGCTTTTCCAGTATCTTCCCGGATATTGATGTTAGGCTGATTGGTCTGTAGTTTCCTGGGTCTGTTCCCCCCCACTTTTTTTAAAATGGGAACCACATCAACTCTTTTCCAATTCTCTGGTAGTTCCCCGATGCTCCAGGATTTTTGAAAGATGTGATACAGTGGTTCCGAGATGACATCTGCCAGCTCCTTTAGAACTTGGATATAATCCACCAGGTCCCAGTGATTTGTATTAATCAACATCAGACAGGAGTTCTCTTACTTACTTTTTGCTTATTTCAACTTTTAAACACAAATTTAAATTTAAAACATAAATCCTGCAACCGTTCTTCATGTTTTTGTCTCCAGGCTTTTAATCATCTTAGTTGCTCTTTTCCAAAATCTCAACATCTTTTTTGTTTAGTGACCAAAATTGGATGCAGTACTCCAGGTGTGGCCTTACTAAGGCTTTAGAAAGCAGTACTAATACTTCATGTGATTTTGATTCTATGCCTCTATACCCAGGATTATATTAACTTTTTTTGCTGCTGCTGCACACTGCTAACTCATGTTTAAGTGATCATCCCTAACCCTACAAGGTCCCTCTTACAGTTATTGTTTTTGAGCCAGGTTTTGCCTAATCTGTACTTGTACCTTTGGTTTTTCCTGCCCAGGTATAAAACCTTGCTTTTCTCCACATTAAATTTTATATTGTTGGATAGGGCCCAGTGTTAAACTCTGTCAAGATCTTTTTGGATCCTGAGCTTGTCTTCTGGGGTGTTGGGTATTCCTGCCAGCTTAGTGTCATCTACAAAGTTAATGAGTTCCCATTCTATTTCCTCATCTAAGTCATTTATGAAGATATTGAAGAGTACTTTGTGATACCCCACTGCTTCCTTCCTTCCACGTAGATGTAGTACCATTGAGGACTACTCATTGAGTAAGTTACAAATCCATCTGGTGGTGATGCTGTCTATCCTACATTTTTCTAGCTTACCAAGTGGATTGTTTGTCAAATGCCTTGCTGAAGGGTAGGTCATTTTCCTGACTAAAAAAGTAATCTATTGTTCCAACTAATGTATTTAAACTGAATGAAATCCCCTTTAAAGATGATCAGCAACTAAGAAGGGCTCAGTATCTACATGTTTATACTGCTGGCAGGAATGCCAGGTGGGATGCCATGATCACAGCCCATTCCTGCCAGCCCTTTTTCTTTGGATCTTCAGGGCTGGCAGGATCTTCACGATGGAGACGGGGTGAGATGTCTCACCATAACAACATTCTTTTCCCTGGGAGCCAAGGACATTCAGCCTGCACCTGGAATGGAGTGACTGGGAAACAACGTGGCACGACATAACCGCGAACGTCAAAAGCGCACCGACAACACCGCGGCGCTAAAACCGTGATGTCAAAAGCGC